ACTTTCATGACTATACGTCGTCCGACGAATTGTTATTTAGGTCGCTATATCTCGTCGCGTCGACGCAAAGAGAGGGAGAGAAAGGGAGAAGGAAAGAGGGAAAGAGAGAGCACGATTGTCCGCGACGATTATTTAATTTAATTATCAGTTGATGCTCTCTTTGTGGTATTCTCTCGGGCGACCAAAATCGAATTGCTCAGATTAAAATGATGAATGAGGATATCACCTGTATTTATCCTTGCGATCCGAAAGTTCGAACATAAATTTGCGTCGAGCTAACCGAACTGGTTACGAACTGGTCAACGGTTTAATTTCTGTCCTCCCCTCATTAGAGACGCTCACCGAAGCGTGAGCATGATTTACAAAGAGAGGGAGAGAGAGAGAGAGAGAGGAGCAAGCTGGGCTATACGATTTCGTAAACTTTATTTATCGAAACCAAATACGATTCCGAGAAGATGGCTTTCCCGTGGCTTACCAACCTAATTAGTCTCCACTTTCGAACTCGAGTCGAAGTAATTAAACCTCTGACCGGTGTCCTACAGTCTCGGAACTACGAACGATTTATCTTTCTCGGAGTACGCGACAATATACGCACACGCGCGTGGGTGTATGTAGCGCGGCTTTCGAATAACGCCGCGTTATTTTTACTGCTACTGTTTCCGAGTCAATGGTGTTCCATGACGCATTCGCCGCAACCGGCGCGACGAAGATGGATTTTGCGATGGAACTTAACCAGGTAGTCGTATACCCGGCGCTGGATGTGCGGTAAAACCCTGAAATAGACGTACAATCCGTTCCTTTGACGGGATCTCCGCGCAGATCGATCCTTTTGACAAACCCGGACCCTCCCTCGTTCTCTGTGGTGAATTCGATTCACCCCGACCGAAAATTTCATTGGACGTACGACACCTCGAAAAATCAACTGTTAATTAAAATGTATCTCGAAACGTGTGATGCGTGTAAATCGCGAGATATAGCCTCTTCTATCTTCAATTCGATACTAATTTGTATTCCCTGATACGATCAACGTTAGACGTCTGACGGATTGCCGACTTCCACCCGCAACCTCTTTAGCGACTGTCTTCCGCTATCTTCTTTCGACCTGCTCTTTCACCACCGGCTTAAGCATAATTGCCGGCGCGGATACTCAGTTCGCACGTTTGTTTGCAGAAGTTGACGCTGAACGCGCGGAACTACGGTCGTATCGAACTGTGTCGCGCTCCCCGCGCGCCCGAGACCGTCCTAATCATGTAAAAATATTTCCGCGCCCGCGTTCCCGCTGCGGGGCGACAATGGGAAAGTTGTTCACGAACAAGTTCGGAACTCTCCGAACGCGGGCACGTTGTGCGCAGCAACGTAGGATTCACACGCGGCTGCGATATCCGCGTGCTCGTCGCTAACTCAACGACTGTCGCTAATGAATAAACTGGTAATTAAGGTCGGCGCGCGCGTTACATTTTCACCGTGAAGTGGATAGCGCGAAATCACAAGCTCGTAACAAGCTCCTCCCACGCTTTTTTTCTCCTTTTTTCCGCGACACCCATTGTCATTCCTTTTATTTGTGTCATTCGAGATAAATGGGCTGTACGACTGCTACATTCGTGTTCCATTTTACGTACAATCATGTCGAACCGACTACTTCAATCAATAATCAATTCAATCAATAACGACCACTCTCCCTTCCCTGCCGAGTCACTCGAATCTGTTACCCTCGAGGACAGCTTGAATAAACAGGTCGATTAGGCGCACTTTGTTCCAATCACGAGAGATGGGATTAAAAATATTGCGGGGAATTGCCGGTGACGTTAAAAGTTCAAGAGATCCGGCCGATTTGCTTTATTGTGAAAGTTGTAACACTTCGTCCTTGTCGCAGTCGAGGCCGTAATATTACGTGGCTGCACTTTTAATTGAACAAACTCTGTTTAATGTAACTTAATTGCCCTAATAAAGTCTGACCAACGTAGCCGTGCCGGCGCATCTTTGCATAAAAGATTCACGTAAAAGTTCCTCCCTTTATTTCCCCGCAAATCTGTGTATCAGAAAGCGGAGAACTTCGCTCGGAGATTCAACTCTTTCCCGCAGGAGCGATTAATGAAACATACGAAATCTACACGGTCCGAACTCTCCGAGCCCAGGCTTTTCTCCGATATCGGATTATTTTAACCCTAACTCACCGCATTCCGCTTCAGCAGACCGCTGAGCATTTTTCGGTTTTCTGACTTTCACATAGCGTATTATTTATTTTCTTAAAATATCAGCTATCCGCTATGACGAATAAGCATTACTTTTTTTTTAAATCATATTCGCAAAATTATTTGAAAATTCTTCCGGAAAAAAACGCTCTCTCTCTTATAATAACAAGTTTAGTTTAAACCCGTCATTTTCTTGACCTGATATCACAAGCATCTTATTCGGGCTCTGTATTTTCAATTTCTACATTACCAGTTTAAAGATATTAATTGGAATAAAAATGACAAGACGACAAAGTCAAACAGTCTTACAGACCGGAATGTGACGAATTAGAGACTGTGGCCAGATAAAATAAACGTGGCCAGAAGTAATACGAGGTGCTCTGTGATTTCGGCGCTGGATCAAAAAGACTCGTCAACGCGGACAGATACGTCGAAGTCGCAATTTCGCACCTCCCCGAACGTCGGAACGCGTCGTGTCAGACGCCGAATTATTCCACGTGATTTTCAGGGATCTTTGTATTAACCAACCGTGCGAATTTTCCTTTCGGCTCCTTGCACAGCTGCCGGTGTAAATTGTGAAAGGGAAGAAGAAATAAAAGACGAAGAAAATAAAAAGGGGTTTGTGCTGTTGAAAAGAAAAAAAAAAGGAAGAAGACAAAAGAGAACGAAAAAGAAAATTAAATGTAGCTATTTTTTACCGCAATTTCCGCCGAAATATCACTTCGTGTGAAACGCCGAGGATGCAACTCGCGACGCTGAAGATAGGCTTTTCATTATTCACACGCTTTCATACGGCTCAGTACGGCAACACTCTATTTATTTTACACCTATTCTACATGTATTACTTTTACAAATTGGACCGTTTTAAAATTAATTTCATCTTTAAAGCGGTCCATACAATTTCACGTTGAACGTCGGCAACAGTTCACCGATGCCTCTTCTACGAGTGTCACATTCAGTTTCAAAACGTTCAAGCGACGTAGGTGACGAACAATGTCCCGGCATTTATAATTTTTCTCTCGAGTTTCCGTGAATTATGTGCTTAATATCCGGCTGTCTTTCATACGTGTCTAAATTCCATCCAAGGTTCATAATCATTTAAATGATCGTTTATTTAAAGCCTGACATTATTTTCCCTACTTTTTTTCCGTTTGCGTCGCGCCGTTTCGCGGAGATATATACTTTAGTATTTTATACCATCGATCAGACTGTAATCGCATTAAAGGTACACGCGATATATTGTCAAATTATTGTGCTCTTCTCTCTTGCTCCCTCTCTCGTGACCTAACCATTTCTAACCACAATCGTGACATATTGCAATCGTTATCTGACGTTATTATCGATCCCATCAATCGTAACATGTGCCTTCAATTACTATCAATACACAGATTATGGAAATACGGGAGGCAAGATAGGCTTAGAAGTCTTATCTGAGCAACTGTACACAGTTCAATACGCTGGAAAATACTTTGCCATTGAATTCGCTGTTGTACTATCAACACCAGACATCTTCGAACAACGACGCTGTGAACGCTAATGGATTTTCACGACTGCCCAGACGCCAAGTTCAATATTGTACGGTGTCACGCATCCCTCGAAGCAAGATCCCCATATCGATCCGCGACGTTTTAACGAATTCATTGTCGGCCCTTTCGATTTCAAAAAATACCGTCGCTCGTGTCCGAATTAATTAAAGGTCCTTACATCATTATTATTGCAACAGCTGGCATACGTCGCACTACGCAGGTTTCCCTAATGTTATCAGAGGTGCACTCACCGACGTAATTAAATGAAACATTTAACTTGTATACAGCGAAATAATTTTCGGCATTTACATTTGGATATTAACTACGATAGAAATGATAATTGCACGAGCAAGGAATATACGACGGATCGCAATTCTATTTTCGATCATTTCTCTACGAGAGCGGAAGTCTCCTCCATTGCGCAAGTTATAATGTAATTTCACTTGTCGGGAATGATGTTGCAAATTGAATTCTCGATTGAGCAAATTAAAGCGCGATCGTTTCGTTTCAAGAAACTGCAGATTCTAGAGTTACCAGCAAGCACAAATCTATCTAAAAGACCGACATTGCCGGAATAGTATATCATATTTCTTTCTTCGGTACTCAATTTCTATAGGAGAAAAATTATTGGACGAGGAACTACGAGAGAGTACTCATTACTTGCTGTTCGGACGAGGGAAGGAGATACCCATTAACCTTTGCTAAAAGTCGAGGATTGTTTTTCTCCCTTAAACTGAGTTTCAAGTACTATCTCTTCATTTCGTCTACGCGTTGAATGTATCGTTCAACGTTACCCTTGAATTTTTATTAACTCCTAGAAATTAGAATAAACTTCGTTTCGAAAGTAAGTGAACATATAGACGAGGAGTCAATTTATTAATAGTAGCATAACGTGTCCAATCAGACTATAATTAGACGTCTTTGTCATCTTATCCATTAAATGCTTTTACAAAAAAAAGGGAAACATTCGCTTGACCATGATTTTTACTGTTCGCTGAAAGTGATGAAAATGACAGGAGGGATAAATATAAAAAGCGGAAGTTAATCTGTTTAATCAAATTAATTTAGTAATTAATTAAAATGGTTGCGTGAAAAGCAGATTAATTAATCCGAGCTCACTGTTGAAAATAATTATTTTTTTTTACGTTTCCGAGCCATTCGTTTGTTATTTCTGCAAATACGCAACAATCCGATTGAATGAGAGAAACGAAGATGTAGCGCCACCCTCGTAACAAAAAAAAGGATCTCTTTCCCGCGCGCACCGATCTTTTCTCTTTAATAGAAGAACGCGTCGACCGATCGTAGCCATTAATCCCAAGCCGGGACCTTGACACGTGCCCTTTCATACTTAAGACACCGTGTCTACGATATATTCCTACTTCCTGCCACGTGGAAATCACCGACATTCCCCGCTGTTCTCTCTCGTGATCCTACGAATTCCTCCGTGCACGTGGGGACTCGGAACGACCGAAACGAGCCATTGTGAAACCATGCTTCGTAACGACGACGAAGGGCGAGTTTGGTGAAAATGCGGTATCGTGCCGTCTGAGCGGGACAAGAACGGAAAAAGCCGCACGGCGACTGTGGGTGAGTGTATGTGGACGTAAGCTAATAGTTGTGTGCGTGATCGTGTATTGCCTGCTGGGCCTCTGTGGCCGCGGTGAAACGAGAAAGGACGAAGAGATGGCGGAAAACGGCGACCGTGCCGCAGCGGAAACCACCGTAGTTCGGTCGTCCGAGGACGAAGAGCAGCGGAAGGAGCTGTACCCCGAGACAGTGAGTATCTTAATTAATTCTGCCCTGCGACTGCAGCATGAAAGAGTAACGAAGAAATTGCAAATTGCGAATATTGAGCGCGTATATCCCGCCAATACGATGAATATGTCGGATTGATTGAAGCGGGGTGTAAGAATTTCTAGATGAGACTCGCAGGAAACTCAGATTTATGCAAATTTGTCGGGAATTCACATGCATACACGTATACAGAACGATTTGTACGTAAAACTTATCGCATCGCACTTGGTAACTTCTCAACTCTCGCCCCTAAGTCTAATGAAAGATCGTCATGAATCGATCTAATTTTCCATCACGCACCTCGTGCGCGTTCTCCGGTATCGAGAAATTAGACCAACGCGAAGAGAAGTAATTCCAGTAGTAACGTAATTTCCACGTTTCTCGGGTCTTCTTGCGCAGGTGGAATGCAAGAACTTTACGGCGGAGGGCTGCGACGCGAAAGACGAGAAAGTGGAGAGTGAAGGGCAGGAGGAGGGGAATCATTGTAGGACGGAGAGCAAGTCGGACCAAGCGTTGAGGCTACAAACACCGACACAGCAAGCGCAGCAGACCGACATGCAAGCCGACAGGTAAGCACGCGATCTTTCCCCCGCTTTCGGCCAGGTAAACCGACAGCGATAGTCCATGCCGGAAATGTCTCGGTGGTGCCCTAAAGATTTAATCGCCACTTGCAAAACGGACGATACCTCATCTGGCCGTAACGGGAGAGAAAGGGAGGAACGGAGAGGGACAGAGAGGAAGAAAGGAGAGAACGGTCGGATTGTTTGTTCTTTGAAAATTAGAACAGCGATGGAACTCGATATATCCACTTAAAGTACGAGCGCTTCGTATATCAAATGAGATCTCCGGCCGCATGAAATAGCATTGTTACGCCTCGTAAGAATGATCTTCATCTCGCAAGAGCTCACAGTCGATTTCCTACACATCTTGCGCCGTAATAGTCGCCCGAGGAAATTCGAGAGGTTTGATGGCAGTTGCGCAATAAAGTCCGCGGGAGCCGAAAATCCTTAGTGCCTCCGTAACTCTCTACGATCGCATATACTCGCGTATTAATATGATTAATCGATTCACATCGCTCAATGCTCTTAGTCGCAGAATCTCCTCATCAAATACGGAACGGACGTAGTTGGAGTGAACGATCGGACTTCCGCGTTTAACGCATTAATCACACGTAGGTTTACATGAACATCGACATATATACGTACAAATTAAGTTTCACCAATAAATCTATTATATTTTCCTTCGTCCTCAGCTGGAATATGGAAGCGTCTTGTTTAATTAACCAGTGTACTTTGATTGAATGTGTTCAACATTCATTTTTTGCAGTTTGAATTAAATAGGGTATCCTGTGCCATATTTCTATCGTAATTATCAAGTAATTCAATGTGACATCTGTATTTTATATCCCTTGAGCACAGAATAATTATTTATGACATGTTGTTTTTAATTTACTAAATGACAATATTGATTACCCCTATATTTTAGCGCTTGTGTGGTTTAATGTCCCTGGACATTAGGAGTTTTAAAAAAGGCGCACTTTTTTATATCTCTTATCACTTTTTATATCTCTTATCGTAGGATATTTTTATAGAAGGTTTAAACCTATTAAAAGTTTGATTTTGATAGCTGATGCTTTTCATAACAGATTATTTTAATTCGTCCCCGAACTTAATTAGAAACAAATTAATTAAGTGGATTGTGTAGATAAGTTTTATTTATATCAATTTAATTTATTTCTATCTATATTTCTACTGCATATTTAACATTATCAATTTAATTTATTTATATCTATATTTCTACTGTATATTACTTATAGCCACACGTTTCCTGTTTTTCTATTCTTATTTTCTTCTTTTTTTCAAAACTCTGATATAAAAAATGCTACAATTTATATCTTATAATTATTAAAATTATTGTTACACTAAAAGCCCCGTAAATAAATGAATATAATAATAATAATAATAATAATAATAATATTTGCCCCATAAATAAATGAATAAATTAATTAATATTTTTATCGTTGCGTAGAAGAAATCGAAAATATCGCGAGGACATAGTTAGGAAAACACGATAAAAATACAATTAAGCGATTAAGCGATAAGTAATAAAAATAAAATAAAGTCTCTGATTGTACAAGGAGGATTCTCGATATGAACAGTCGCGCATAAAAATATTTCTTTAATGGACATGCTTGAATGGATAAAATTATCAACTGTTGAAATTGCGGTCTTTAGCGACCATTGATGCGCTTTCGATAAAACGCGCGAAACACGCTGCCAGTTAACTATTACAAGCTAATTAATTCATACATGAAAATTCGCCGCGAAGCTCTACAATGGCCGAATAAATGGAAACTCGCGAAACTGGCCACAAAATTGAACGAGAGGGCCGGGACGATCTCACGATTATGTCGAAGAAACGAAAGATATCTGGCGGTGCCTGCGGCATCGGTGTATGATAAATATGGGATGAATTTGCGGGATACCGGACAGTCTCTCCTCTCTTACTCTCTCTTTTCCTTTCTCTCCCCCTCCTTCGGTGCCTGAATATTCTCCAATCGAACAGACGAACGTAACCCGCGCGATCGGTAAACCGGAATGTAATTTGGAATTCGATAAACAGCTTGAACGAACGTCTTGACACGACGTCACGTCAAATGAGATTCGCTTCCCTTCGCATATTAATAAATTTACAATCCGTTAGCGGATGAGCATTTCAGGATTTTCATTAAACCTGCATCGCGTAGTCCGTATCACGCTCGTATGAAAGGGAAACATCAATAGTTTGTAATTATTATCAACGAGGACGCGAAATCAACAGCAACGTAGATGGAGATAAAGTGATTTCCGTCGAAGCTGATTATTTCGTTAATTTTAAATCTGACGTAGCGATCGATCGTAACGAGTCAACGGTGCACCGCAACGCGTGAATGGAACGTTGGATATTCTTACTCGATTGATATCTGTTAATTTTGCAGCGACACGCACGACGTGTCCGCAGAAAGAGGCGAGTGCATTGATCGCTAACGCCGACGAGCACGAAATAATTATCGATAAAATATGTGAATTAATTGTCTATGATATTCTCGATATCGTCATCGTTGCCAATAATACGATACTGTTCATTACCGCCTCATTAATTTTAATACGCGTTTAACGTGAAACTATACGGTGTTGTGTATTAGTCTTATGCACTACGGAATAAACGCTGAGTTGCGATAGAACAACCGCCGACAAACGTCCAAATGTATGCAGATTTATACAGTACGCGTAATTCAACCCCGCCACTAAGCAATATAGCAAACATCGCTAATAGAAGGGAAAACACGGGCGGAAACAGGATCCTCGTTACAATTAACGAAAAGCAAACGTTTTGCTTTTGACTGTTAAAAAAAAAAACGAGAGATAATAGTGCGTCTTTTCGAAAGATGTATTTAAATACGATCGATTCATTGCAAAATAGCGTGTGTGCGTGATAAAAATATACAAAGTATATCTGAAATCTACTGACAAACTTACAGGACTGATCCTATGTTGAAAAATAATTAAAAAAGTCTTACAGCAATATATGTCTAGTTATTTATTTGTAAACGCGAATAATTAATAAATAAAATATACTTTTTCAACTGAGATTGTGGTAGCTATATATCAGAAATTTATATCAGAAAAAAGCGTTTGAGAATATATATATAGCTAAGACCTTTTCACTTATTCTTTTATGTAGATTCTATTCTGTGAATTTGTCTGTAGAATTCAGACCCTCTATATATATAACACATCGTGGGTATATATAAAAATGTACTTTAATTATATAATATGTAATTTAATTAAACTGATAATTACATTACTGTGGAATACCGTTCCGTAAAAATTAAAATCGTCGATCAAACGTACTGCATATCTCTTCCTTTTATTTTCATATTATCGTTATCATCATACGTGCAAGTCGATTATGAGAAGAATTCAATCGCGAACAATGAAACCCGCAAAATCACGCGCAATATCTTATTGAAAATTCTTGATTTTTTTCGCTTTTTACACACGCAGATCGTATGCTCGAGGGAAGTTTTTAAAAAAGTTACACAAGAATCACAGAATGTTATGAAACGTATACAGATATATACGCGCGCTCTCTTCGTATCTGAAAACATATGCATCTGTTACATAATTTCGTGGACGATAACTTAGGAAAACAGCGAGTTTCTACATGCTGCAAGGTCGAAGCTCGTGACACCAACATCTCGTCGCTCGAAAAAATAAAAGCGTATCGTAGGAGCATTCAATGTGAATTCTCGTCGTACTCGTGAAATATGGAAAGCGGAATTCCCCTGAGACGTGTTCTCTTATCTGTGAATTTTCCTTCTTCTTTCTATTCGTTTACATATTTATATGGCCGTATCTGTCTCCTCGATTCATGATCTCACGCGACGTACACACGATACATGCACATTGCCGAAACATCTGAAATACACATAGGGGAGAATTTGATATCACACCGGGATGAAAGCTCGATTCATTTTTTATTTCTTCGGTGTATCATAACTTCAAAGCTTCTAATACATTTTTAGGTACTTCCCACCGCCATCAATTCTATTTTGATTCTCGTCTATTCTGATATCGTTGCTGTCCACGATAATGTAATTAGTTCATGTTCAGACTGGCATCAATTACGTGAATTCGTTACATGAACGATGTTACGGTCAGTGATTGTAAGGACAATTGATACAGGAAAAAAAGAAGAAAACGACGTGGAAAAGTTGGTAAAAAAACACCACCTCGACAACTTGCAATCCTTAAAAGCAAGAACCGGCAATGTCATCTGTCACAGAAGTTTTTAACCGCACCTGCCCCTAAGAATTTATCGACATTACGCAAAATCGGTGGGCGGGAGGGGGTTGAGGGATGAATAATTTTGTTCCGACGCGGCGTGTAACGCAGCTGCTTCCCTTTTTTCACCCCTCATCTCGTTTTTATTGATAACAACCCTCGACGGCTGCATCACTCAACGTCACTCGTTGCCAACTCGGAACTTAAGTGATGTCTCTTTTTTACGGGGAGAAAAATATAATTCAAATTTTTTTACGCGCCACTTGCTCCTTTCTCCGAAAATCATATCGAAGTCTGATGTGATTTGAGACAAGACGCCGGTTCGATGCGCGCATTACGATAGATCTTACGAAATTTATATTACAGATTCCTCTTTTCTTTTGGCTCGAAGAATGTAATGAGCAAAATATAAAGAGAAATGTAAATAAAGATAGAAATATTGCAAATGATAATATGCGTGCGTAACGACAAATGATATGCGTAGAAAGTTAGTTCTTTCCACGCGTTGTAAAACACAGTTGAAGGAAATAATATCAAGCGACAACGCTATGTAATTTTTCGCTGAAATAGCGGATCTTCGTAACAACGTATGCTTCATTTATATTCGTATTTATTTCACTTACTTTATTCATTTAACTAAACGCAACTAATTATATCACGCTTTATTAAATTTTCGATATTGCATATTGCACATATTGTACGTTGCATATACAGTAATATGTATATATGAATGGTATGTATGA